CTTCCTTCATTTCTGCAGCCGGTCCAGAGAGACCGGACCTTCCAGACAGAGCGGGAGAACGGGAAGGTCTTCAAAGGGCACAGGTGAGGGACCAGACATACCTGTCAAACGCCTCATCGCCCCGTCTGCCCGCCTGGCCAGTTTCTGGCAGTCCTGGGGTCATCCTGAGTTTAAACACCCTCTTCCCCGTTCCAGGAACCAGGTGACGTGTCTGTCGGTCTCCACGGATGGCAGCCTGCTGCTTTCCGGCTCGCACGACGAAACGGTCCGGCTGTGGGACATCCAGAGCAAGCAGTGCCTGAAGACGATGAATCACAAAGGTAGGCATGCCCTTATCTCCGGGATCCTTTCCTCCTCAGCTGCTGTCTCAATTCTGCTCTGACGCCACCCTGGGCACTTCAGGCATTTCTCTGCTACTTGCTTCACACCTCCAGGAAGGGTAGAGGCGTTAGAGGGACGCCTCGGCTGTCTGGAGTAGTGTTTTGACCTTGCCCATGTCTGCTGACAACCCCCCTGTGCACTGTCGGGGCGTGAGTCAGAGGTTTCACCCTGTCGCTGGGGACGACCAGGATCTTCCTCCTTGGTTCCCAAAGGGAGCGGTTGCCCCACACGCACCCTAACGCCTGGGGAGGCTGTGAGAGGGGGAGGATGTCTGGAGAAGAGACTGTCTCTGTGACCCCAGCAAGGCGCACCCATGAGCTCATTAGGCTTGAAGTGAATCCGATAGAAGCTGTCGCCTGGGATTTCGGTCTGATGGCCCCGATAAACCGAGCAAACAAACCTCTGCAGGCCCAGGCTGGCAATTAGGTGCCTCAGAGCAGTGGATGATTTAGCCCTCCTGTTGCTCGAGCTGTTGCTAACTGGGTTTCTTACGTGACTGTGGGGGTCTCCAGTCTCTTAACGCCGCTCTCGCTGCGGGGGCTGCCCGCGCTGCTCTCCGGGCACTGCCTGACCCCTCCCGGAAGGTGACGGGGGTGACAGCCAGCCCCTGTGCTTCCGTGATGCTGCCTCTGGACAGAGGTGGGCAAGCTGCCGCCTCAGGGCAGTCGCTGAAAGCCGGGCTGCCTGCAGGCCCTGCCCTCCTGTCCTTCTGCTGCCAAGGACCGTTTCTAATGGGGACCTACTGCAGCGCCCGTCCAGCCTTGCTCCACTTAGAAAGGCGAAAGCAGACAAAATCGGAGCTGTGTGAGTCATCAGAGCAGGAGGGGAGCAAGCTTTCGCTGCGAGCCAGGCATTAAAACCCTCCTCGAGGCTGCAGGGGGGTGCGGATGGGCACGAGTTCGGCCCGTGAAGGGCAGGACCAGGCTGACCGCGTGGCGGGG